ATTGCGCAGCTCTTGTCTGAGTCCAACCGTTGCAGGGATGGGTCTGTTACTCGAAGGATTATCTAAGCTTTGTTTCATGAGGTGGTTGACTGACATTATGAGGAGTTCATCAGCAGCTGATGGCAGTGTGAGTTCGGGAACCTAGGAAAACCTAGGGATTGCTTCGGTGGGGTTTGTTACGCTGGGTAGTGAGTGTTTGGTGTATGGATTTGAGAAGGTGACTTGGAGGATTCGGGAGGATTCTTGAGGAAAGTATAGATAGGTGTGGAATGTAGTATTGGGCCCGTACTACTGAAAGCACAGGATCCATACTCAAATCAGAGAGAGTCTTGGAGAATCTAAGAAGACTGTGGGATGAGGATTTTTGGGTATATTTGGATCTTTTGCATGTTGTTTCGGTATGGTGTTAAGCACTCAGGAATGGGATTCAGATTCTGGTTCTGGCTCAGGAGCAGGTACTGAGTCCAAGGAATTGTGCATTGGAGCCCTAGTGGCATTCTTGTAATTTGGGCAGGAGGAGTATGCTAAGCGTACATGTGTGTACGTTGAGCGTACTAGGGCGCGCCCTAGTATGTTGGGTTTACACTCATGACTCATGTACGTGGGGCGTACTAAATAAAGATGCAAGCCCTACTTTTTAGGGTTTGGGTGGTATTTAAGCATCTTATTGTCCTCATTTCTCTTCACCTAACCAGCTTCCACCCTCCCTTCGTGATTTGAAACCCTATAACACCTTGTGAGGACATTTCAAGCATTAAATAGTGTGTTTGTGTGAGTTGAAGAGGAAGGAAGAAGATCAAGCTCAACTTGGAGAAAGAAGCACCTTAGATCCGGGATTCATCCTTCATTTGCAAGCCTTTCAAGGTATAAAGCTTGCACCTTTGTCTTTTAATATTGTAGATCTAGTTATGGGGGTTTTATATCATCTTTTTGGTCCCAAAATTCTAATCTTGAGCATGGCATGTTCTGGACGTTTTGAGTTGTCCTTTCAGACCCCAGGAGGGGTCCTTAGCCATAAAAATGAAGTCCCTTTAGTTAGTTTTGCTCCATGCATCTTATAGAAGGTCTTAATGGATTTAGACCTTGTAAGAGGTCTTAATGGATTAAGACCTTGTGTTAAGCTCTTATTAGGTGTGGGAAGTCATAAAGTTGGAAACTTTATGAATCTAGGGTGCATTTGGATTGTGGATCCGAAGTATGGGCTTAAGTTCTTACGCCATTAAGAACTTAATGAAGTTTTGGGGTTGCGAGGTTACGCCCCGCGTACTCGATCAACCACCCCGATGGTGGTCAATGCGAGGCTTTGCATATGCTAAGCGTACCTCTGAGGTACGCCCCGCGTACTCGCATGGGTCATTTTTTTGAGTTGACTCGGCTGGGTTGACTCATTTGGCTTAGTGGGTTTGACCAATGGACTTTAACTTTGACTAAGTTTGACCTTGAGGATATTTTGGGATTTTGATGGAATTGATAATTTGATGGAATTAGCTATCGGTTAGAGAGTTGAGATTCGGAGTCAGACCTTATCAGTTCTGTTCAGCTTGCGAGGTGAGTTTTCCTCATTGTACTTACGGGTCGAAGGCACCAAGGCCAGCCCTTTGGATTGTTATCCTGGTTTATCGTATGGTTGTATACTGTAGTGATATGTTAGATTTGTATCCTGATAGATAGGATGATGCTATGCCTAGTGATTTGTAAGATCTGTCTATTTGTTTACTGACTGGTTATTTGGATGCTTATCTGCTATATATGTGTGTCGACACGGTGTTTGTGTGGTTGGGTTGAGGCGATCCTGCTTTGTGATGAAGGCCAACAGAACCAGGGCGGCCCGGATAGACTGAAGGCCAGTGGGGTGTACCAGTCAGGCCGAAGGCCCTGAGAACGGTCCAGCTAGGCTGATGGCCCGGTGTGGCGTACCATTCATGCTGAAGGTTCTGTGAGTGTACCAGGTAGAATGTAGGCCGGTGAGGCGTTCTAGTCAGACTGAAGGCTCTGTATGCATGTTGTTTGCTATTATTATTATGATTATGTTATGTGTTGGTATTTTGGGGGAACTCACTAAGTTTTGGGCTATGTTTCAAGTACCTCTAATGACCGCGGGAAGGCAAAGGCATGATCGTGCACCTCCTCGTGTTTTGTTTTATGATTTTGGGAAAACTCTGATATTAAACATGTTTTGAAAAATATTTTGTAAACAATGATGATTTGTGGAATGGTTTTAAAAGTTTAAAATTTTCATGAATTTTACGGATGTTACATTATGATTGGGACATTACACAGATCTAGTCTTTAAGTCTCAAAGGGGACCAAAAGTGCATCTTTTTCCAACTCACTCCATTAAGTCCAAGTCTCTAACCTTCATATCTAAATCAATATGATGTTTAGATTGATAAAGTTTCCAGCTTTATCCATAACAAGGTCACAAATTTTCAAGATCTAAACTTTATGCACTTAAAGTGACCAAAAACTCATAATACCCAAAACTAGCTAGATCTAACAATTTCATCATCAAGATTCAAACTTTATACCTTCAGAGAAAAGATCAAGGTGAAAAAGGTCTGCATCTACAAGCTCCAATGTAACCAACACTTCTCCAATGAGCTCCTTCTTCTCCAATATGCACCAAGAACACTCCAAAGAACTTAAAAACACCTTCTTTTTGCTCACAAGGATCAAACTAGGGTTAGGGTCTCAAGGGAGGATGTTGAAGGGGTGGAGGCTGAGAATGGAAAGAGTTTGGGGGAAGTTAAGGAGCTTAAATAGGGCTCAAACAATGAAAATAGGGCTTGGGTTCTGATCGCGTACGACCAACGTACTCCTGGTACGCCCAACGTACCAGGGATGCCTAGTACGCCCATCGTACTCCCGTATGCCCAACGTACGCGGCTAACCCAGAATCATCATAACTTCAAACGGTCGTAACTTCTTCGTTCCAACTCCGTTTTCGACGTTCTTTTTATCCACATAAAGGTATTGAAGAGCCCCACATTATTATATAGATATCTTGGACTAAAAACTTCTTGAACAAAAATCCATATTTCATGCAAGAACCCCGACTATGACTTTTTCCTTTTTACCCTTCGACCCAAAACACAATTCATGGGTTAGATCTCTCAACCATCATTACCTCCTTCCACAAGGTCTAATATTTACCTCCTCAAGGCCCAAAGCCTTTGCACAATTTACTTCTGACCCGCGACCCTGAAATAAGAAATGAAGGGAAACAGGATGTTACAAATATCTTAACAATAAAATTCTATAAAATGACGATGTGTTTTTCTCCTGTCAAATCTGAAGTTGTTTTTTCAAAAGTAATGTATTTTAAAAAGATATTTACCAAAATGGTGTGATTTTAAAAATATTTACCATTTAGGTTGTATTTTATATCAAATCAAATATAGATCGTAAAATAAAAAAGAATGAAAATTGAATTATCATGATAATTACCTTTTCATTTTGTTCACATGTGGGTAACTTGTTTTTTTTGTACACATATAGGTAACGAACTTGTTGGAGGTGTTCACATATGACTATTATGAACGGATGTAACTTGTTATAGGCGGTCATAATGGTCATATGTGAACACTTACAACAAGTTTGTTATTTAGATATCTGCAAAAAAAAAAAAAAACAAAGTTACCCATATGTGAACAAAACGGAAAGGTAATTACCATAATAAGTGAAATTCCATTAGATAAATTAATTTTTTCTTTTGTCTATATATAATATATACTCTATGAATTTTGGGCCCCTTAGAGACATGGCCCTTGGGCGATCGCCCGGGTTGCTCACCGTCTGGATTGGACGTAATAATATATGGAGATATAAAACCAATGAGAAACGGTAAAAAAACATATGAAGAAAACCCTAATTTAGACCAAACTTTGGAACGATTATTGTAATTTTTATTCTGGTAATTTACTCATAAGAAAATGAGAATTTGACTTATCAGTGTCATTACCTTTTCGTTTTGTTCACATCTGGGTAACTTCGTTTTTTTGTACACATCTAGGTAACTTGTTGGAAGTGTTCATATATGACAATTATGACCGACTATAGTAAGTTACATCCGATCATATTGGTCATATGTGAACACTTCCAACAAGTTCATTACATAGATGTGTACAAAAAAAAACAAGTTACCCAAATGTGAACACAATAAAAAGCTAATTACCCTGATAATTCAATTTTCATTCTTTTTTATTTTACTTTATATATTTGATTTAGTATAAAATTTAACCTGAATGGTAAGTATTTTTAAAACCACACAATTTTGGTAAATATCTTTTCTAAAATACATTATTTTTGAAAAAAAAAACTCCAAATTTTACAAGAGAAAAACACACCGTCATTTTATAGAATTTTATTGTTTAAGATATTAAATATAAAAATTAAAATTACTAGAAACTAAATGTACCAGAGATAAAGGCCAATAACATGAAATAAAACACCGTCTTCAATGAAGTTTGTTTCATGTATTACAATATTTTAAAATACAAAAAATAGTAGTTTTTTTATGTAAATCAATAACATTGTTACTGTCTCTTATATATGGAGCTATTTGATAATTATGTTATCAAAAACAGCTCTCAACGTGTCGTGACCAATTTAAATGTTCATAATATTTTTTTAAGAAAATTTAACCGAATATATTAATATTGCAAACATTTAAATGTTTGATAATTATGCTACCAAAAACAGCTTCCAACGTCTCGTGACCAATTTAAATGTTCATAGATATTGTTTTAAGAAAATTTAACCGAATTTATTAATATTGCAAACATTATGATCGACCGCCTTAATAAAAATGGAAATTGATTAATCAGGGTAATTAACTTTTCGTTTTGTTTACATCTGGATAACTTAATTTTTTATACATATCTAGATAACGAACTTTTTAGAATTATTTACATAAATTAATTCCCTTAAAAAAAAATTGGGTTTTTGGATTTTGGTTTGATTTACTATATAAATCGAAGATGTAAATTGTTAAAGCTTCAATGTTGGAATCTAGCTTACACATGCTTGAATGGTGTACTCCATCGTTGACCGTCTACACTCCAGACTGTCACTGCCCCTATGTTCCTGAATCATTCATTACCCAGAAACAGTTAAACAACAAGCACAGTAAAACAGTAAAACTACTATTTACCACCGACGCCCAAACATCACAATCTTTACCTATCTTTGCCACGTGGCCACCTCACGTATCAAAAGGACACACATCTGGCCCCACCACGCTTCTATCCTCAACCAAAACCCTTATTCTCTCTCTCTCTCTCTCTCTCTCTCTCTCATCGCCGTCGTTACGTCTGGCGATATATTTTTACAATTTTATACTGAATAACTGATCGTATTCGCCATGAATGCCATCTGCAGCTCATCCGTGAAGGTTTAGATCATCGTCGGCCGCTTTGCATTCATTGCCGTGTGATTAGTCTCGTGAATCGCGAAGATTTAGGAATATTTCTTTGTAGGTAAACAAACTATAACTACTACTGCTGTGTCATTTTCTGATATTAGTTGAATTCAGCTTTGATTTTAGGGATTTTGATGGCAATGCAGCTGTTCTTTGACGGTTAAGCGTTAACGAGAGACGGCGTTTTTAGTTCTCGGGTGATTTCTTGGTAATCGTGAAGCGATGTCTGGACCACTAGATCGATTTGCGAGACCTTGTAAGTTTATGATTCTTTCGGTTCTAAGTTCTTCGTTGATAATATTCGAAATGTGAGTTGCTTATCTTGATGTAAAATCGTGTTTGATTGAATTGAAACTGTGTTAGGTTATTTTGGGTGAAAAATTAGGGTTTCTTTTGCTAGAGTTTGAATAATGTTACTTGAATTACTTTACGAGTCTGGATTTGATTTACATAATTAGTGCTGTTGGCTTCTACTTGACACCATGGGGCTTGGGATGTTGTTGAGGTATTTGTATTAACTTCTTATAATCTGATGTCCATGTTGATATGATTAGGCTTTGAGGGGTCATCAGGCAATGATGAAAGATCAGACAGAAGAGAACATGAAAGATCAGACAGAAGAGAACGAAGATCTGATTTTGAAAATTCTGAAGATGAAAGAAGGACAAGAATCAGTTCTTTGAAAAAGAAAGCACTTAATGCATCTAGCAAGTTCAAACATTCTCTCAAGAAAAAAAGCAGTAGAAGAAAGAGCGACTGTAGAGTCAGCTCAGTTTCCATTGAAGACATCCGAGACGCTGAAGAACTACGAGCTGTCGATGCTTTTCGACAATCACTCGTTTTAGATGAATTACTTCCACAAAAACTTGATGATTATCATATGATGTTAAGGTACTCTTCTCTTCTGTTTTATCTTTAATGTTTCATACATGAGTATTGATCATGTTCTACATGTTATCAGGTTTTTAAAAGCTAGAAAATTCGATATCGAGAAAGCAAAGCATATGTGGGCTGATATGATTCAGTGGAGAAAGGAATTCGGTACTGACACAATCATTGAGGTGATTACTTTCTTATTTCCAGTGATTTACCCTTAATTATATCCATAACTTGGTGTTGTTATCTCATCTTGTATTGAAAATTTGAAATTCTTTCAGGAATTTGAATTTAAAGAGTTGGATGAAGTTATGAAGTATTACCCACATGGTAATCATGGAGTTGACAAAGAGGGAAGGCCTGTTTACATTGAAAGATTGGGGAAAGTTGACCCTAACAAGCTTATGCAAGTTACAAGCATGGATCGTTACATAAAGTATCATGTACGTGAGTTTGAAAAAAGCTTTGCTTTTAAGTTTCCAGCTTGTTCAATTGCTGCAAAAAGACACATAGATTCAAGCACAACAATCTTGGATGTTCAAGGCGTGGTATGTAACATAGTTGTTCCCCTTATGCAAATCTATAACTCCAAATAGACACTAATTGACATTTTGTAATATTTTAGGGTTTAAAAAACTTCACCAAGAGTGCTAGAGAGCTCATAATGCGACTCCAGAAAATTGATGGTGACAATTACCCTGAAGTAAGATTAACCTTTTTTTTACTAATCAATTCATTATCCTTTATGTATTACTATTATTACAGTTCTTGATTAACTTTTTTATACCACAAATTTCTTCAGACACTTCATCAAATGTTCATTATCAATGCGGGTCCCGGTTTTAGATTGCTTTGGAATACTGTAAAGTCATTTCTGGATCCCAAAACAACTTCAAAGATTCATGTATGTAGCTGATAATATATGTTTTTGTATTAGATCTTAAAAGAATTTGATTGTTTTCTTCATACGTTTTTTAGGAATTAATCTTTCTGTTTGGTGATCTCTCAGGTTCTTGGATGCAAATACCAGAATAAATTGCTTGAGATTATTGATTCCAGGTAATAATATATGTTTTCTAATTATTATATAACATAAACGTTTAAAAAAAAATTTGTTTAATCAACATATTCTTTTTTTTACAGTGAATTGCCGGAATTTTTGGGTGGCACGTGTACTTGTGCAGATCAAGGGGGTTGTCTTTTATCTGATAAAGGGCCATGGAAGAATCCTGAAATCATGAAGGTTTTTATTTATTTATTTTTACTTTCTTTTATATATTCCTAGAGTTTTGTTGTAACATGTGGACTTTGTTATTCAGTTGGCTCTTAATAGTGAAGCAAGACGTGCAAGACAGGTGGTTAAAGTCTTAAACAGCGAAGGAAAAATTGTTGCTTATGCTAAACCTCAGTTACCCATGGTTAGTTTGTTTTTTTAATCTTTTTAATGCTGTTTTCCTTAGAAAAAAAATTAATTTTTTAATTATTTTGAGCAGCTAAGAAGCAGTGATACATCAACAGCTGAATCAGGATCAGAAGCTGATGATATTGCATCCCCGAAAGCAATAATGAATTATTCTCATCTTAGGTTGACTCCTGTTCGTGAAGAAGTAAGTGGTGGAATTTGAATTTATAGATTATTTATTTGATTTTTATTAACAATTGGGTTTTGTTTGGTATATAAATATAATAATATAGTCTAAGGTAATTGGAGGGACAAGTTATGCTGGTCAATTTCCTGGATATGATGAGTATGTTCCCATGGTTGATAAAGCTGTTGATTCTGTATTGAAGAAACAAGCATCAATGCCAAAGCCATCTGTTACAAGAGGTTAGTTATGTCATTTTGTATTATGCTCAATTTGTGACTTTAATGTCTAAGATAAAATCTTTATCATCTCCAACACCAAATTCAGTATAAAAAATATGTTGAAAGTTGAAAATCTTGGATATATTTTTACTTTTTTATTTTATACAAGATAAAAAATTGGTTTTAATTTTTTTGATATACAGGGGTAGCTCTGGAATTTGGTGCTGAAAGGGCACCCAAAAGCGAAAGACTTGATGGTCGAGTGTTGGCATTTGTTATGGCTTTGTTGATGACCCTTTTCACAGTCTTCCATACAACAGTCAACCGTGTGACTAAAAAGGTTTCATCCCAAAACAACACAGAGGAGTTGGCATTGCCACCCATTAAAGAAGAAGCTGTTCCCTCTGTAGTAGAGGCAGAAGTTGTTTCTTCTGTTATGAAAAGATTAGGTGAACTTGAAGATAAAGTTGACACTCTCAATGCAAAGCCATCTGAGATGCCTTATGAGAAAGAAGAACTGCTAAATGCTGCTGTTTGTCGCGTTGATGCCTTGGAAGCTGAACTCATTGCTACCAAAAAGGTAAATACATACATTTCTATTTCTTTACCCATAATACTTACATTACATCACTCATATTGGTTGCTATTAAAGGTTAATAAATATATACATACGTATGTTGTTATTGTGGGTAAAAAATGAACTTTGGGGTTGGTTTTGTGCAGGCACTTCATGAAGCTCTCATGAGGCAAGAAGAGTTGCTTGCTTACATTGATGGCCAAGAGGAGAAAAAATTCAGGGTAAGTTGTTTTATGTTTCTATATATTGTCTTTTTTATTATGTTTTCAGAATAAATGGTTGCTGATAGAATGTATGTATATGTATATGCAGAAGAAGAAGATGTCTTGCTGGTGAAGAAGTTGCTACACTGAGGATAACCCCCTGACTCTTTTCTTTTTTTAGTAATTGTTGCTATATGAATGTGTGTGTGTGTGCGAGGTTTGCTGTGTTAATACTGAGTTTTTACTATGGGAATGATACCAAAGTTTACATGATGGATGATTTGTTTGTTTGAAAAGAGGTTTGTTTTTAAGGATGCATATACTATAATATGATTAGTGCTTGTGCTTGTGTTTGGTTTTGAAGAATTCGAAATTGCTGTCATCCACCACATAACTGTCTGTCATTCTTGATGTTTATCAAAACTAGCTGATAGTCAATGGCTGTAACTTTTATCTGTTGGGTAAAAATAATCTCAAAAGTTCACTATGGAACAACCTTTACATGTTACCAATAACGACAATATGCTCATTGACAGATTAACTGGCAAAGGATGCTGAAATTTGAATGCTAGGGTCGCTATTTATAAAAGAATAAATGGGTACACAAGTTTTGAATCGAGTATTTTTATTCACAAGGCTTGGACCATGGACAGCATTTCAAAAATCAAGATTGCCTCCGGTTACACGATTCTCTCAACTTTCCGACTACATTTTACCCTAAGAAACATGTCCGTGTTTGTCTTCTTTCTTCTCCCTCAGAAACCAAAGATGTTCTTCTTTTTCTTCTTCTTTTCAAGGTAAGCTGCAAACTCTTGTTGTTGAGCTAGCGCATCCTTAAGAGACTGCAAAAACAATCCAATAATTTTGTCAATCTCCAAAAACAACTCAAAAAGTTATTTACAAAATGTTTTTGAGTTGATGAAAAGAAAAAAAGGTACCTTCTTGGCAGCGGCAAGCTCAATCTCCAAAGACTCGATACGCTTCAAAGCGTTATTAAGCATCTCCTCTTTCTCGGGTGGCATCTCGAGGGGTTTGTTGGTTAAAATTATAACTTTCTCCTCCAAATCCCCCAAACGCTTCATCATCGAAAGATACTCGGCTGTTGAGATGCCGGGCGCTTGCATCTGGTAAGGCTCGGGCCTCCGTCTGACTGGCTCTTCTTCATAATACACACCCGAGTATTGGTTGCTATCCGTAAGCTTTTTAGGCATGTTTCGCGTCATTCGCACCATTGTCATACATCCCATCATAAACGTCATCATACCTGTAAATATTTGGTTCCCTAGCCCATCCCCCTTGTATGCATTGTTCGCATAATAATTATCTGTATCAATAACAATAAATAATAATAAGTACCACTCTATCTTTTTCAACTTCTTACTACAATATTTATTTACTTATTTATTCCTTTTTCTACTTTCACCTCTATTGCTAGTATCATCAAACTTCATCTAACTTTCCCCTTACCCTATTTACTATAGGATTTGGGTATTGTTACTATATCAAGTATTTGATGTTGTAAATTTTTTTACCTCTTGGAGTGGGAGCTTTATGCACCGGTCTAGCATAACTTGAATCAACAGCTCTTTCAATTGCGTGTGTATTGTCTTTGGGTTCATATGCGTTTTGGTTGCTTCTTTTAGGAACCTGTGAATCCTTTTTAGAAGATACAATCTAATTAGAAGATAAATTTCTTAGAATATAAAAAGACCTAAATGCTAGAAATAGCTAGGATTGTTTAATACTTTGAAATTATTTTTTATTAGAGAATACTACTTGGAAAAACGTCACCACTATAGCATCGTGTAACTTGTTTTTTTGAACAGGTGTGACACGTGTATAAGGAAAACTGAAAGTGCATTGCTATTTCTTGCATTTAAGCATATGAGTGAAGGAGGTAACTTACTTCTTCATGAACAGGTGTTAGTTGTGGATGCTTGACTTGCTCCCTATGTGTTCCGGAAGGTTCATCATCCGCCTTGAAACAACTACTCGTGTTAACATCTACTCTATTTTAGGAAATGTAACTATTATTTTCTACTCATTTAGACATTTACTACTTCAATATTCACAAAAAATTTATAAACTCCTATAAAAGAAAAAACCCAGACATGGGAGATATAAAAAGTGAGCATATTCTCTAAAAAGACTACCTCAGATATGTTTTTCTCATCTGGGATGGTAGATCTTGATGAACATTTGTGTTCACCATTGCGAACCATCTGATACACAAAATTACAAAAATTAGTTTTACATTTATTTTTTAACAATGTGAAAATCCAAATCCCATTAGTAAATGACAAAAATAACCTTCATGATATCTGGATCTTGCCATGGACCCTTATCAGAGCGCATGCAGCCACCTTTACTGGAACAGGTGCACGTGCCACCCAAAAAATCCGGGAGTTCACTAAATATACAAATAAAGAGAAGCAAAAATGAATTTTTTTTTTAAACACCATGTATAACAGTATAAAAAGTCTAAATGACCATTTTACCCTTACATTCTAACTCATTAAGTCATTCATTCCAAATTAAGACAAAAAGAAACAACCCCTAAGTACCTTGCATCAATGATTTCCAGGAGCTTGCTTTGGAATTTGTTGCCCAAAACCTAGTCAAGATAACAAATAGTCAACAAATTTATAATTTAAAAAAAAAAAAAAAAAAGATGGTGTGAACTTACATTAATCTTAGCTGTAGTCTTTGGGTCAAGGAAGGATTTAACTGTGTTCCACAAAAGCCTAAAGCCAGAGCCCGCATTGATGATGTACATTCGGCAGAGAGTCTACAAGAATATAACATGTCACAAATTTCAAACATTTTCCAAATTAACCATTTTGACATAATATAACATGTCACAAAACTGCCCAAAATATAATACTAGTTTTTTTTTTGTTATTTGCCCACATGAATATGAACATTTTTCACACAAGAGAAGTACCTCAGGATAGTTGTTACCATCAATGTTTTGGAGAGACTGTATAAGCTCCCTAGCAGATTTGTTCATGCTTTTCAACCCCTATTTAAAAAAAAAAAAAAAAAAACCATGTTAACTTATTTCACAAGTTATCTCACATAATAAATAGATGCATAGCAAATTGAAATGAAAGATTAGGTGACTTACGACATTTTGTACATCAAGAATTGTGGTGCTTTGATCAACGTGCCTTTTTGCAGCGATTGAGCAAGCTGGGAACTTATCAACAAAAGTTCTTTCAAATTCCATCACGTGATACTTGATATAACGTTCAAGGGTTGTTGCTTGCATGAGTTTGGTAGCATCTACCATACCAAGTCTCTCAATATAGATAGGTCTTCCATCTTTATCAACCCCATGGTGTCCTTGAGGATAGTATTGAAGTACTTCTTCTTTTTCCTTGAATTCATATTCCTAAACAAAAGATTTTTCATTTTTCAGGGTTATAAACCATAAACATCATTTATCCAAACAACACTTATACCTCCATGATGGTGTCTGCGCCATACTCCTTTCTCCAAGTGATCATATCAGTCCACATTTTCTTGGCCTTGTCAAGCTCATAGTTTCTGGCCTTCAAAAACCTGTATAATATTTCATGACATAAATTGAGAGTATAATCTATAATACTAGTTCATTAGTATTGAAAGCAAGTGACACCAAATGTAGTTTACAAGGGATTTGGAGAAAAATTAGCAACCTTAACAGCATGTGGAATTCATCATGCTTTGGAGGTAACATATCTTCTTGGATCAAAGCTTGACGTAAAGCTTCAACTGCCTTCAAATCCTCTGCATCATGTTCATCTTCAACCACAACAGACATGACTTTACTGTTCCTCCTGCTTTTCTTGGAGAAAGAGGTCCTAAATTTGTTTGAGGCATTGATTGCCCTCTGTTTCAGAGAGTTACGCCTAGCCTTCTTATCCTCCTCTTCCAAGTCGATTTTTTCCATACCTGTACAAAATCTCCATCAGAAAAATCTATCTTCATTGCTTAAATTTGTATATTCTTCTCCTCGGTTTTAATGGCGTCAAAAGTAAGAAAAAAAAACAGCAAATTCGAGATTCATGTTGCATTTTGATGCTATTTGACTTGAAAAAAAAAAAAAAAAAACCCTGAATTAGACGTATATTGTGAAGAAGAAAAGGAAACGAGTTCATACTGGGTCGAACGGGGCGTTCAGGTCCGGACTCACTCATGATTTGCAGTTATGAATGTTTGTTAGCAGTGCCGAATCTTAACGCCCTTCTCAAATGCCTACAGATTTTAGAAAGAAAAAAAAAGGATTATCGTACGAATTCAGCGAATGATTTCAACATAAAGTAGCTGCAAATGCTTACAAATTCCTTCACATAAACCCATCGTGAAATGTGATCGACAAATTCAGGTATAAACTAATCAGAAATTCCATAAATATCGGAAACACCATGTGAAAAAAAACGCGATTAGTGATTTTCTCGAACGAATTACCAATCTATTCCGTTTTTTCATTCCATCGGTTAGCTAAACACATGCACACAACACAAACGCATCCTACAATGCTTGAATCCCGAAGCTCATTGTAATTCGAGTTAGCAAAACGTGATGATTCAGTCAAATCAATTTAATCATTCTAAATCTTCTCTAGGTAACAACAATTATACAATTTTAATCAAACAAACACATTTACGAAGAAGAAACCCTAAGAACACGTGAAGCTATCAGAATGAAGAGCAGAAAACGAAGAAATGCAGAGAATGTATGAGAATTAAGGAAATTACCGACCAGCGACAAAAAAATGGCAGGATGTAAGGGAGGGAAGAAGGGCAGAATATTTTCTATAACCTCATCATCTCATCCCCCAGACTATATTTTTGGAAACCATGAATGGAGTCTTGAGAGAGAGAGAGAAAGAAAAGTTTGGGAAATGGCAGCCAGCCACCCTGTTTTTCATGTTATAAATGTGTCGGGCTTCGGCCTTCCATGAATATGGTTACCATTCAGAAAATGCCGCAATAATATACAAACACACCGTTATACATTATACATGTATATACATAGGTACGTAAAAATATTAACAATTTAATAAATCTATTTAACCGATACAAAATGTATTAGTGGATAACATGGATTGTCTTTAGTTGATTGAATCATTAGGGAACTTCTGCATGTGCGAATATTCAAATCCATTCTGAATTATATATTTTAATATTTATATTGTTGGTCCTAGCCTCTTACACCCTAGGGTATAATGTATATAGATACCCTCAAGACATAATTATACATCACATGTCCGGTACAAATGGTGTCACACTTGTCACAGTCTACATAAATGTCACATCAGTTTTGCCACACTTTATCCAAAATTTGTCATTTATATGACGTGAGTAACTGAGTTTCCACAGTTGTCATGCTATTTTTTTTTAAAAATTAATGAATTTTGAAAATAAACATTTCAAACATATTATTTTTTTAAATCTAAAATTTCATTAAACTTAAAAAAAAACACAGCACACCAAAAATACCATAGAACTTCAAATTACAAACCTAGAAATTTAAATAACGAAACCATGAAAATAAAATAGTTAAACCTAGATGTTATATTTTTTCGCGACCTCCTTTTTTGCTTTTATCGTCATATCTCTTTCACATCACGTGAGAGCGCTGGTGTCTTTCGTTAAGATCGTCATAGCATAGTTTTTTTCTTTCTCTTGTGCGACCGCCAAATATTGTTCCAAAGACGATTTAAAGTTGTCCATTTTTGTTGTTAGTTGGTCGATGTCACCCGAAGCATTTCCCGAACCACTTGCCGCCACTTTTCCTTTTCACTTGGCTCGGTCTCTTCACATGGGACAAGTGGCTCTTGGAGCCTCAAAATGTTCCTCCTCATTGAGTCAATTACGGCATGCGCATCGGGCGATTAAATATGCGTCGTTTCAGATGTTTTCGTTCTTTTAGAAGAACCACCCGCAAAGGTTTCAGAAGCGTCGATCTCTTGCCATTTTTTTTACAATTTCAAAATATTCCAAACATGCATAAATTTAAAATTGGCTCCTTTCTGATTCCGATACATTTCAAGAGCATTTTGCAAAATAGTTTCATCGTTTGCACCACTTTGTCATTGTCGTTTGACACTCGAAAACACCCCATTAAACTCCATCACCACTTTGTTGACATTTCTCCACTTAGAATAATTTTGGTCTTTTTTCCGGTAGTCTCCAATATTCATCTTGTTGAGAAAACGTCAACACCCGGTTTCTGGTACGCATTTATTTACAAATTATTCATTTTTATAGAGCTACTCGACGAATTGGGAGCTCCAAACTCGTCGAGTAGAATTAAGTCTTGGACGCGGGATTTCAACTATCTACTCGAAGAGTCAAGAACCCTCGACTCGGCGAGTAGGTCTGTCAGGGTGAAACCCTAATTTCGGGGTTTTGCACCCTATTTAAGCATCTTAATCCCCACCTTTTGGCCTCATTTCCAGCCTCCAAGTCGTAAACCCTAATCCACAAAACCCTAGAGTATTTTGTGAGTTTGTGAGCCATTCTTGTGTGTTTTGGTGTGCTCTTGAAGCTAGAAGAAGAAGAAGGAGCTAGAAGGTTCAAGGAGAAGATAGTAGATCCAGGGATTTCCTTCCATCCTCATCACTTTCTGGTAATCAAGTCTCTAAATTGATCATTCATTCCTTAGATCTATTTACTTCCATTTTATGAGGGTTTTGGTGCAAGAACCTTGGTCTTTGGGATTTGGACGTCCCAAGTAACTTATTTTTCAGATCTGTGATTTAGGAGGGGTTCCATGGCATAAAGGTGCAAATTTTATGACCATGGAAGCCCCATGCAAGCTTAAAAGCCTTAATATGGCCTTTTAGCCCTAATAGGCCATGTTTGGAATGAAAGCTTGAAACTTTACGTGTCCAACTGATGTTCAAAGCCTAGATCTAGTATAGTGTGCTTTGGTTTAGGGTATTATGGCTTGTGGACCAAGATCTATGATCTAGAGAGTTAGGGTTTGAGCTAACCCCTTAAGAAGGACTAATAGCGGGTAAAGTTGGAAACTTTGCCCTTAAAAGTGTTTTCCCAGTGTGTAGATGAAGTATGGAACTTAGATCTGAATAGTAGGAGCTGAATCCATTGAGATGGCTCAATCATACAGAGGAACTCGGCGAGTCCATAGAGGGACTCGACGAGTTGAGTTGGTTTGTCCCGTTTAGCTTAAGGTAGAACTCGACGAGTCGGTGAAGGGACTCGATGAGTTAAATCGGTAGATCGCAACTGTGAGTAGCCTGGGAACTCGACGAGTCAGGAGGAGACTCGACGAGTTAGATCACGATTTTAGGTTCTAGGGCTCGACGAGTTGATGGAGCAACTCGACGAGTTGGGTCAACCAGAAGGTTGACTTTGACCCAACCGTTGACTTTGACCAGGGGTAAAATGGTAATCTTATCCTAAGAAGGATTATCGGATTTTGATTAAGTATTATTATGAACTTGATAGTCGGGGAGTCGTCGGAGCAACCATCAGAGATTCCTCACTCGAGATTTCAACAGTCACCCTTGTGAGGTGAGTTTCCTTAAGTAGGAACGGGTCTACGGCACCAAGGCCGGCCCGTAGTATGATATGTTAGTAGCTGAGTGTGGGCGAGACCCGTACCTCCCAGTCAGCCGAGTGTGGGCGGGGCCCGTATCTCATAACTTAGTTTGATTATGGATATATGCTTGATTGATAGATTTAGTTATACTTGTTGTCTGAGTGATACTTGTATGTATGTTTAGTAGTTGAGTGTGGGCGGGGCCCGTATCTTATAGCAGCTGAGTGTGGGTGGGGCCCGTATCTCATAGTAGCCGAGTGTGGGTGGGGCCCGTATCTCGTAGTAGCTGAGTGTGGGCGAAGCCCGTATCTCAGAGTCAGCGGAGTGTGGGCGGGGCCCGTATCTCTTAGGGCGTGTTTGGCACGGAGCTTTTGGAAGCGTTTGGGAGCTTCTAGCTTTTAGCTTTTGACAAAACGCTCTAGTTTAAACAAAAAACTTCGTTTGGTAGTACTAGCGTTTAGCTTTTAGTTTAAACAAAACACTCCAAATCTAAAAGCTACTTCATGTAGAAGTTTAGATCGAGCGGTTTTTGGCCTACGCGACCTAAATGAGAGTTGAAGATATCATTAATAGGAACTCAACAGAGTGAAAATGGAGTCCGTATGTAGAAGTTATGAATTTTACGCGGACATTTAACAGTGTAATCTCCTTGTACTGTTAAATTTAAGATCGGTCGAGAATTAGCCGACAGAGTGAAAATGAAAGTTGTAGATCTTATTTTTACCTACGCGTGGATATAAAGAACGTCGAAAGCGTAGCTCGTATGCGAAAGTTATGAATTTTTGAAAATCGACTGATTTCCACCCTGTGTGCGATGCCACGTGTCAGCACCAGGCGAAACCTTGGAGCCTACGCAACACCACGACGTGGTGACGCTCCAGAAAGCCTATAAATAGAGGTGCCGAGTTCCCTTCATTCCTCACACCTTCCAACTTCTTCCTCTCTCTCCAGAACATCTCTCTAAGCCCTAACCCCCCCCCCCCCCCAAAAAAAAGCCTAGGGAACCCCCTAGCACAAGGCGGAAGCCCCGGAGCGCCCGACGGCTCCGAAAAGAAGAGCCTTTGGCTCATAAACTCTACTTCGGCGGAGCCCGGTTTTGAGGAAAACCCGTTGTAAGTGAGTTACGCCTACCCTATCTTTAGTATAACTTATGATTCAATATAGTAATGTTATTAGGACCTTATAATAAATATTTGGGATATTATTATGAGTTATATAAGTGTCGTTATAATGTCTTTTTTAACTACTCGTGGTACGGGGAATCTGGTTTGAATTGGGTTGCTGGATTCAGAAGTGCTATATGCTGAAATGATCCTGCCCTCCGGTGTTTCATGTCTGGCCTCTGTCTGTACATAGTGGTTGAGAAGTATTGTTTCGTGCTTATATAATAGTAATAATGCTTAGACTAATAATTAGTCTCAGTGAATATTAGACTAAACTCTAGTGGTAATAATACTAGGTTTCGTCAAGGGAAGTTGTTTTTAAGAAGCGAAGCACTGCCTGAGTTCGGAATCACCACCTTTACAGATGAGTGCATAGTCCCTTTCATGAACATGATTTTAATACAAGTATTGATTGAAGTATTAAATATATGTTTATGTGTGAGTTATTTGATGTTGCCTAAAATACGTGTTAAAGAACATACCTGATTGTATATGATGATTTAGGACAAAAAGTAAACCTAAATTAATTATGAGGAATATTGGGTAGTATCTTCTTATGAGTACGAGTGAGTTATACTCAGAGAATAGAACTTTAGTATATGTCATTGATCCGGGAGCATGGATTAGACATAGTCATTGTCCCTAGTCCGGGAGTATGGATTGGACATAGTCAATTGTCATTAATCCGGGAGTATGGATTAAGACATAGTCAGTTGTCCTTAGTCCGGGAGTATGGATAGGACATAGTTATTCGTCATTAATCCGGGAGTATGGATTTACACATAGACACTTGTCCCTAATCCAAGAGTATGGAATGGGCACAATTATTGATCCGAGAGTATGGATTAAGTAAAAGGTAAAATTTAAGGTCCGAGAGTATGGATAGTCTCGTTGTGAGGATTAACGGGGTGGGGTAAGAGTTGCTATTATATATATATATATATATATATATATATATATATATATATATATATATATATATATATATATATATATGGTGAAATTGTATATTTTGTGAGTTCTAAATTATATATATGATATAACATTGTGGGATTGAAATCCCTATGTACTCACCAGGTTTCCCAACCTGACCCACTCAAGCTTATTTGTATCACAGGTGTCAATATGAAGTTACATTACACTGAGAGATTAAAGAGATGTAGATCACTAGTGTAAATGAATGTAAGTTCTGTTTATGCTTATGTTTCTGTATTGATGATGACATCCCAAATGTTTTA